AATTGCTTATTTGTTGCTGTCCCTCCAGAAAAATGAGTGTAAATGTTTTACTAAATCATTTGAATATATTTAACTTAGTCTCTATCTGCATAAAGCAGTCATGGTAACTTTGTGATGCCCTTCAGAGCTCTTCTAAAATAAATTAGTAACCAGAAACCATATCATTTTTGAAAGTTTTTGAGGATCTATGGCTCATGAGCTATGCATGGCTTTTTGACAAAAATCCTGTGGCTTGCCAGGTTTCTCACCCTTCACCAGCATATGATAATTAAAAACGTAATTAAATTCAGTTTCCCGCAGAAATCGTAAAACTGCTTTGTTGCACAGCCAACCAAAGTTACTGGAAAGTCAAGGTACGATAATATTAGGTATTATTATTATTGGAATATTTATATATTACAAATTTCTGATCAATAGTACTTACATTTTTATAGCTTTACTCACACTGTTTTTGTTGTTTAGATCTTCCCACTTGTCTCTTAAATGAAAAGTGCATTTACTAACAGATCTGATTCTTGAAATGTTCGAAACTTTGATTCAGTATGTCATTTGTATCAGGATGCAGCAATCGATATGCACATTATTGACACTAGAATACACATTGGCTTTTCATTTTTATGTTTTAATATCTGGTCACCCAACTGATTTTTAAGAAACAGTGGTACTGAAAGCACTTTTTAAAACATACAACGCTGCTTAGGATCTGTTCTGCACTAAATCATCCATCATAGACTTGTCAGTCATCTCTCCTTACTCTCCTCTTGTGATCAATGAAATCCGAGCCGCGCTGTGTATACGGAGCAGAGCTGATGTTTTCAGTTTATAATTGAAGCGTCTGTTGTCCAGCTGAACATGCAGCTGCCTAACTAGTTTGTGGGAGACGGTAACGAGAATTTAAAGCAACATAACAAAAGAAAAGAGAAAGCGACAGCTCTGCATAATTAATTCCACACTGAAACATTGCTTTGTTATATTTCGGAGTTAGCAATAAAACGAACAATAAAACTGTTGTCGAAATGTTATTAAATTAAAAGTGTTTTAGAAGAATAACAGTGATGACAAGTTTTTGCATTTGCTTTTTAAGAGGACAAAAAAATGTTTCTTTGGTGGAAAATGGTCCCAGAACAATTACTGTAAGGACAATTGTGCAACAATTACCAGTGATCCTTACCAATGATTGGGCCCACACGGAATCTGCACACGCATTTTAGCCCATCAAGTCTATTTATTTACTTGTGCAAATGTGTATACATTTATATTTATTCAGTTTTTAAATAATTTAAGTAATATTGATGACTAATATGAAAATGTTTATATGATTTATTTACAATACAGTTTGTAAAGTCATCTTTTTTGTCTTTTTAGTACATATAATATATGAGAGAGTTGACCAAATAATTGGATTTTAATTATAAATATTAAATAAACGTTAAAAAGGTTTTATTTTTTGTTTCACATATTTAGTTTTTAGTTATGATACTCCTAAAATCATTCAGACTAAATCCGCAGATTTTTTACAAAATTTTCACCAGAAATAGTCAGAAATGTCTGCAGATTCTGTCTGAGATTTAGAGGGATACAGCACTACTGAAACCTTTTGGGCACTTGAGACTGAATTGGCATTTGTCACTGTTTTAAAGTGCTTGTGCCTGAAACTAGTTTTGTAGAAAAATATGATTTGTGTATTATTTTAGATTAGATATTATGTGTGTATTTGATATTAATCATATAGCTAAATTTAAACTGCAATGAAGAGTAACAGAAAAGAAAAGAACAAGCCTAAAATGACTGATTTAGTGACAGCTTTTCTTAAACTTCAGCCAATTATATTTTCAAGTTTGGGAGAAGCATAAAGGTGGTCGCACAAGTCTTGTTTACATCGTTTTACATATATTGTTCAGCAATGTGAACACATCCAAATGGTGCTAAAAGCATCACATACTGTATTTATAAGGTATAATTCACCCAAAAATGCAATTTGGGTCTTAATTTAATGATGTATTCACTGCCAGGAAATAACTTGTGAGCTGACACTTTTTGTTTACTATCGAGAGGATGTGTGCGTGCTCGCGAATGAAGCCTACTTTCAAGAGTTCACACTTAGCCGATGATTGATTATAAAGCTTATTTGGCATGCTGTCCCAGAAAAGAGCCCTGAGCACATAAAATCCTCGAGCCTGTTCATGCTGTGAGGCAACAGTGCTAACCACTGAGCCACCATGTCACTCATATAGGAAAGGAGGAGTAGGGGTGGAAGGGGGGTTCTTCAAAATAAAGATGGCTGTTATATGGAACTTAAAGTATTTATAGTGGCTTAGGAATCTTCTGATTGATGAATCATATGTTGGAGACCGCAAGCAATTATAAGCATGTGATCCTCTCGAAATTAGTTTATAAATAAAATGCACTAATGCCGAGTTCAGACTGGATGTTTTTTAAAGCAGTCTTGTTACAGATGTTTTTACACCTCATGACTATCTGGGCTAGCATTTTTTTTTGCTGCTTTGTTTACACTGCAAGATGAATCGGCGACGGGGGCTTTCACATTGCATGACTTTACAATAGTAAGAATCCCTGACAACTTTGTCCAAACTACGTCTCACAGCCAAAAATGCGTAGTATATCTTTTGTTATTAACTACATAACAAGAAAGAAGCATTTAATGTAGAAAATGTACATATTTGCTCACTTGGGTTTGAAGCGAATTAGCAATTTCTCCTCAACTTTCTTTTTTAAGCTTCTGTATGAAATGTCAAACAGAGCCGGGTACTCCTGTTAAACCTTCACTAGTTTTTCTTCTATTTCTTGGGTCCAGAAAAACTAAAAACGCTTTTAACTTCTCCCCCAACCTCCTTCTGGTCTGCAGCTACACACACACTAGTGCTGCTCTCTCATTGGCTGTAGGTGATCGCCGGTGTTATTTTCAATTAAAACTTATTCCACACGGCATGATTTGAATCGCCGACAGCTCCAGATATTAAAACGCCAAATATCTCAAAGGCATTCTCTCAGATCGCGTTTTTGTTAGTTCGTATTGTGTAATTGTCACTTGCAAGCACGAGCACCGATTTGCCTGTGATTTTAGGCATTTGATGGTGATTTCTCTAAACCTGTCGGCGAGTCAAAATCAGGGCTAAAATCATGCAGTCTGAACTCGGCATTAGTGAACAGAACCTGCATAGGCTGTGAATAACAGGTGATAAAGTTGTAAATAATGTTTAGTTTGTTGCAATTGAGCGATTGTTTGGGAGCCACACGGGAAGTATCATTTCCATGAATGTTTCTTCCTCAAAGTGCCGGCAGCCATGAACAGCACTCTAAAAACCTAAACCGCACTCATCATTTAAATGTTCATTTCGCATTTTTGAGTTATGATTATGACAAGCGATTGATAGCTTTTTTCATTCATAGGCAACACAAAGTGTTGTGCATGAGAATAAATGTTTAACAGTGTCATATTTAAATGACACTGAAAATAATGCAAGAGGGAATCTGATAATGACAATTGTCCCATTTTACTAGTGATTAAATGGTCTGATAATGTTGTCGATGGCAGATTGCATGCATATGTCTTAAACACTATAATTCAACTTGAGAATTATGAATAGTTGTATTCTGATGTCATCACTTTACTGTGAATTAACAACCAGGACGTATTTAAAGTCTATTAAAGTCCCCCATTCCAAGTCTATACTAAATTTAGCATTTTAACCAACAGTAGATCTACACATAGGCCTAATATTATTGTTGGTTTACCATGTTTGAGAAATAAAAATAATTACAGCCAACTCATATTAACCTTTAATTTACATCTACAGAATTGTGAGAAAATCTGATCTTGATTTTAAGCAAAACATAAATAAATAAATAAAAATAAATGTGATTCTCATTTAGCCAGAATTGTGCAGCCCTAGTGAAACATACAGTCTTTTTGGCTTAATCTCAAGAATCATTGGGAAAAAAGGGACTGGACAAGTTGCCAGATGGCATGGAATACCCAAGACATGTCAGGATGCTTCTCGTGAAGCAATTTCTATAATTGATAACATAAAGAAAACTGTTATCAATTCTCCAAAAGATCACTGGATAAAATGTCTTGTTTTTTCAGATGACGCACTGCCCATTTGTTTTCTTTATGAAACACAGGTAACATGTAATCACTTAGAGAGGCCATGGGATCATGTCACGTTTTCCTCAGAGTGCTTTTAACCTAACTACATTACTGTGCCACTAATCTGCCTCTTATTATCTAATTAGTCCGACACAGGCAAAGAGACAGCACCACCATCCCTTAAATCACACGTCGCCACCAGGAGGGACTCTCTGATCAAAGGCAACACCGGGAAAGGCATATTTTGATAAATCTTAAATGCCTTTTAAACATTCCCAAGTCCAAAGATAACACATTTCAGAGAAGCACATGTTTGCTTTTGCTCCAGTGGAGTTATTGCTCATTTAAGTGTTTTGCTGTTGGTAGGTGGTTCGAGGGTGGACGGCTCTTGTGTGGAGATGGGAAAAAGATTCATGAGAGCATCTAATTGAGCGCAGACAGGGCACTAGCTTGTACATTTACTCACAGGCAGGAGCCCAGGCAAAAAGTTCAACAGATCTCTCGCAATGCCAGCGCCTCGCTTCTTGAACAACCATCAAATCACGCAACGTAGGGAACGCACAAACAAAAATGTTACGTTTGGCTTTCAAGCTTTCAAGAGCACAGCTGCAACACGGGCGTCCCTTCATGTTTAACCGCCGCTCGGAGTAAACCTGTAGCTTCTAGGTACATCAAAAGGACGAACTCAACCGCTATTGTCTCCTTTAGTACATGTGACACTGTTATAGTATCTCGGTAGAAAAGAAGCGCTCATCTTTGAACAGCGCATTTTAACGCACCTTAAAAGGGAGCGTAAGGCGATCCCCTTTGCACTCTCTGGATATGCAATCCAACACTGCTGATTCATTCAGGCTTAGTGTCACACATCACACACAACGCCGTCTCTCACCTGCCTGCCAACTCTGTTGTTATGAAGTCTCATCCTGGAGTGAATGTCTCTGTACGTCTCGCGGGAGTCCAGGAAGTCCTTGGAGAAGCGCTCCCCATACTCCACGTTGGGACTGCAGCCGCCCCACTCCCAGGAGTCCTGGGGGCCGAGTGCCTCGGCAGGGAAGTGCTCCATCACACCGTGCACCATGCCTTTGCCTCGATTGATGGCCTCCAGCTGCAGACGGTTGAGCTTGATTCTGAACGCCTCCTCGTCTCCTCTGCGCTTCTCGTCACAGCCGCAGGCCTTCAGTTTGCCCATGGCACAGGCATTAGACACGGCATGCACCACACCAGCTGCAGCAATGGCATAAGCAAATGCGCTTTCTCTGAAACCTGCCAATGAAACAATGCAATAGATTATTCAGGCAAGCTGCCTTCAAAAGTTGTCCATCCATCGCACACATTTGGTCTTGCATTTGTGGGAGATTTTAATCAGCAAAACCGCAAGGGCCCTGATGTTTGACAGCACTACCAGTATATTCCTTTCACAAAAACAACAGGAGGACCTCACAGGACATATCTAGTGAGCGCGCTTAAGCATCCAAAGCATGCAGGAACAAGGGAAAAGGTGTGCAAGGGCTCTGGTTAGAGCAGTTAAGCACAGACATGCTCAGCTGTACACGAGCTTTGCGCTGAGCTCTAAAACGTGGCTGCAATTAACCTGGCTACCGTTAGCAGCCGTTTGATCTGCGCTAATCACATGCCGCTCATCTGGATTTCAGCTCTCATCCACCATACTCTTTATTGGAACCAAAGTGAGGCAGACTTTAAGGCTTTCCGACAAGATTTAAGAAATTCCTCAGCAAATACATTTGAACACATGAGAACCACATGTAGCAGTAGCAGGTTATATTGTTGTGTTTGGTGTAAGGACGTTTCATTACAATGTTATTCTCTCACCAGGGTTTCTGAAGTAAAGAAGGTGCCTCACCAAAGGTGACTGCATGTGCTACAGGCTTGTTGAAGGCTAATGGTCTCAGACTATAATAAACGGAGGTCTCATAAAAGCAGACTCTCCTGAATCACTTTCAGGGACAGATGGGGAATTAAAGACGGCCATGCTCAGAAACATGAAAGAGCCCACTAAGGGCTAAATAGTTTATAGTTCCTTCTGCGTGCTAAAATCAAAGGGCACTTCTTCAGCATGAAAAAAAACCTCCTAAGTATACAAAGTGTCTGTTTTTGAAGTTAAAATAAAAAAGTGTCATGATTGTTTAATCTAAAACAATGGCTGATCTCAAATATATATGAGATATCAGATGATTATTTTCAAATAATGTTTATTATTATACAAACACTTTACATTAAGATTGTGTTAGTTAATGAATTTGCAAACATAAATAATGAACAATGAAATTATTACAGTATTTATTGATCTTAACATCAGTTATTTAAATAAAATATATATTGTTAGTTCTTGTAAACTCACTGTGCTTATGTTATCAAGCATGACTTTGGATATTAATGATGCATTAGTAAATGTTGAACTATGATTAATAAATGATGTACAAGTGTTATTTTAATTCATGTTAGAAAATACATTAAATAATGAAACTTTATTGTAAAGTTTGACCATTTTTGTTATGATGTATGAAACTAAAATGAAAGCCTTAAATGGCTCTTTTTGCTATATATAAATTATATATTCATACAAGTATTCAGCATGTCATAAAAATAAAAAAGTGCTTCACCTTGGTTAATGTCAAATATCTGAAAGCATATGTATGTTGCGAGGTATAAAGAGGAAAAAGAAAGCCCATGACTGCTGTGTTTGATGTTTAAATCATCAAAAAAATAAAAAAAATAAAATAATAATTAATTACAGCCTGAAAGTCTAAATAACATTAACTAATGAAACTTCATTGTAAAGTATTGTTATGATGTTTGAAATTCAAATAAAAGCCTATGAAATTGCTATAGTTTGCTATATTTAAATTATATACACAGTTGAAGTCAGAATTATTAACCCTCTGTTTTTACATTTTAATTCTTAACTAGGTTAATTAGGTTAACTAGGCAGGTTAGGGTAATTAGGCAAGTTATTGTATAACAATGGTTTGTTCTGTGGACTATCAAAAAATATATAGCTTAAAGGGGCTAATCATTTTGACTTTGAAATGTTTTCAAAAATATTAAAAACTGCTTTTATTCTAGCCGAAATAAAACAAATAAGACTTTCTCCAGAAGAAAAAAAATATATTATCAGACATACTGTGAAAATGTCCTTGCTCTGATAAACATCATTTGGGAAATACTTAAAAGAAGAGAAAAACAAAACAAAGGGGGGCTAATAATTCTGACTTCAAATGTACATACAGGTATTTAACATGTCATAAAAATTAAAAAAGTGCTTCACCCTAGTTAATGTCAAATATCTAAAAGCATATGTATATTGAGAGGTATAAAAGGTGGAAAAAGAATGCCAATGACTGCTGTTTTTGATGTTTAAATCATCAAAAAAGTAATGACAGCCTGAAAGTCTAAATAACAATAAATGTATTATAGTATTTATTCATCTTAACATCAGTATTTAAATAAATAATTCATTGTTAGTTCTTGTTAACTCACAGTGCATAAATTAATGTTAACATGCATGAATTTGGATATTAATAATGCAATAGTGAATGTTGAACTATGATTAATAAATGATGCTCAAGTATTAAATTAATTCAAGTTAGAAAATACTTAGCATTAACTAATGGAACTTTCTTGTAAAGTCTGAACATTATTGTTAAGATGTATTAAAATAAAAAGCCTATGAAAAGGCTGTTTTACTATATTTAAAAAAGTGCTTCACCCTGGTTAATGTCAAATATCTGAAAGCATATGTATATTGAGAGGTATAACGAGGAAAAGAAAGCCCATGACTGCTGTGTTTGAAGTTTAAATCATCAAAAAAGAAATGACAGCCTAAAAGTCTAAATAACAATAAAATGATTATAGTATTTATTTATCTTAAAATAAGGGATACATTGTTAGTTCTTGTTAACTTAAAGTGCATAAACTAATGTTAACAAGCATGACTTTGGATATTAATAATGCATTAGTGAATGTTGAACTATGATCAATAAATGATATACAAGTATTACATTAATTCATGTTAGGGATTACATTTACTAATGAAACTTAAATGTAAAGTCTGACCATTATTGTTATGATGTATTTAAATGAAAGCCTATGATATTACTATTTTGCAATAAATAAATAACATAAATACATACAAGAATTCAGCATGTCATAAAAATCCTGGTAAATGTCAAATATCTAAAAGAATATGTATGTTGAGAGGCATAAAGAGGAAAAAGAAAGAAAGCATGACTGCTCTTTTTGAAGTTTAAATCATTAAATAAGAAATAACAGCCTGAAAATGACTATAAATGTGTCTAAAACTGTTGCATGTTTCATATGAAATAGCTGTTTTTGCTATTAAAGTCATCAAAAGAAGAAAAGAAAACTCATTGGTGTGTCAAAGAAGCTAGCAGACAGGGGTTACGTGACAACCAAAACGACAGCAATATTAAATATTTTTACTTCTGCACCATTGCCTGTCTACATTCAAATGCATTCGTGTGACCACTTAAGACGTTTACTTTATTGTAAAGGATGCTTCAAGAGAACCAGAAAGTTCCAAGTTTGAACAAGTTTGAAACTGGCTGTGACCCCATGTCTACCACTTAGTAAAGCGTGTATAATGCAGATTAGGGCTTGTCATATTAGACCTTTGAATGCTGGCCCGCCTCACCTCCGTGTCCTGCTTTGTCCATCTCTGGGCATTACAAATGACTAATGAGCCTTTAAGAAGACTTAAATCAGGTGTGAAGCAGGGTCTGTCTGGTATTTGCTGTTTTCCAAAAATCCTCCCTGATGGCAGAGCTGCCCTTAGGGCTCGGGGACAAAGATCTGAGATAGCCGAATGATGTTCAATTGATCATTTCAAAACACACAGGAACTCACACCTATTAACCCACCCACCCAGAGTGACACACACTCAAGCAGAGGAGACCTGCATGCATGCTGAAACACACACACTCATGCACACAAACATGACACTAGCCGCTGCTGCTTTTTTTTTCAACTTTTTTTTTCGTGCAATCCTCTCATGATTCTATGGGGGGCAAACGGCACTTAGGCGCAGCCAGAAGACACGGACATGGAAATGCTGTTTTAGATTTCCTTCCAAGCCAATGAAAGACCTGGAACAAATCAATCTAACAAATTATTTAAAGTGAGAGGCATGCCCGGCTGCGCTGATGGTGGAGGAAGTGGGAAAATGAATTAAAGATTGAAGGAAACTGTCACTTTGGGTTACAGAAACTAACTAAACAGGTTTATGCTTTTGCCACTGAGGGTTGGGAAAGCGCTGAAAGCAAATTCACAGCACTTGCACTGGCAAAGAGTAAAAAGCATCAGCTGGCCAGGGATATTTACATTCCCCCTTTTTAAGTGATATAAGCCTATAACTGATAGAGCTAACTCACATATATGACTGTTGGCCGTATGCAATCTTCGATTATTTACTTTTAACAGTATGGGTCAGTGTCTAGCGAAGCAAACTAATTTAGATGCAACTTACTCATTTTTGCGGCCCCCAAAATATTCACTGACCAAACCTGAGCATCTTAAAAAACTCATTTGGCTATTTGATTTGATTGCTTACCCCTGCTGGAGACCACACTCAGTGTCTTTGAACGAATAAACACTTGACCCAAAGACGTCAAGTTAAAGAGTATAGCTTATCTAAATAGTATAATTAGCTATAACTTATGATTAGTTGTTAATATTTCCCCCTTGAGCTAATTCACTATATGCATTCCTCCTTTTTAAGTGATAAATACCTATAACTGATAGAGCTTTTCTTCTATCGCACATTTATGAGTTGTTGGCCGTATGCAATCTTCAATTATTTGTTTTTAACACCATGTGTCAATGTATGGCAAATCCAACTAACTTAGATACAATTAACTAATTTTTTTGTGGCCTCAAAAATTTTCACAGACCACACCTGAACTTCTCAAAAAAGCGAATTTGACTGTTTGATTTGATCGCTTACCCCTGCTGAAGACCACACTCTCGTAAGGGATTTTATTCCTGGTCTCCAAACTTGAGCAGTTCCAGCGGTGCCCTCGGAACTGATGCTGGCACTCATGAATGGCAATCTGAATGCCCTGTATGGCTGAGGCCGTCACATCTGGATTTCTCATACAAACGTCCAGCTGTTTCTTTGTCAGGCCTGGCAGGGTCAAACACACCGTGTTGGCATTGAGGATGGGGTCAAAGGGGATCTTTAGTCCCAGGATCTCATTTGAGTCTGCCCTAGAAGAGAGAATGAAACATTATCAAGTATATAGTAGTAGTAGTTTACTAATAACACATATTTTACACTCTAAAGATGCCAACCTTTTTGGACTTCCCAAAGAAGCATTGACTGAATGGTTCTTCAATGGAGCAGTTTCCTCAACAGTGTGAAGAACAGTTTCATAATTTAAAGAATCATTTTCTACTATAAATAACATTTTATGAAATGAGTTTCAATGACTTAAAGGTTTTTCACAGGACCAACAATGGCAAATAAATAAATAAATAAATAAATAAATAAATAAATAAATAAATAAATAAATAAATAAATAAATCACATTTTGTGTGTGCACAAAGTATCTTTGTGTAATGCTTGAATTGTGGAAACTTTTAAAATAGAAAAAAGGTCAAACAAAACTTCAGTTATAAGTCTAATGCTTGAAAAACTGGCAACAAAATATGATGGTTTAAAAAAATAAAGATATAAATTAAGATTAAGATAATAGATTAAGATAATAAATTAAATTTATTGTAATTATTGTTGCTTAACTGGCAATTATTAAGCACCTGGGCAGCTATAAAGTTAACTTAGTGTATGTAAATGCTATAATGTAGGTATAATGAAGTACCATTTTAAATTGCAAACAACCAATAGGCTACATTGTACACATTTTATAACAGAGCTTATTTAATTTAAATGACACTTTGGTGAAGTAATTCTTTGTCAGCAAAATATTAAAACCTATCAATCAAAAATTAATCAGCCTCAGCAAGTTGTGACACTTCATTTAAAACAGTTGAAAAAAGTTTTAACTTAAAATAAAAACAGCTTTGGAAAGTTTTGGGATTCACGCAAGTCAGAAAGTCCAGTGAGCGGACGTGTTCAATAAACAGACCTTCACTTGCAGGAACCATGTAGAGACACTAACAAGTTCTTACCTTTGAACCAAAAGCGACGCCAAAGCCAAAGAACAGAAGAGGCGAAATAAAAAGTAATCCATGCTGCTGCTGCTCTTCTGCAAAACTCTTTCACAACAACTCTCCTGTCTGAGGAGAAGATCGGTCCAACACCCGCGCAGCTTTCCAGCGATCCGCTTCACGTCCAAATCTGACGAGAAATAAACCGATGCTGGAGAGTGCCAACTGATGTCGTGAGAGCTCATTCATGGAATCACTTTACAACTTTTTTTTTTTCTGCTGGCGCTTTCAGTTTGATGAGAATGAATGAAGATGTGAGGCGACGCGGTGCGGATATTTTCATCTGATCTGACACTGGACACTCGTGTATACATGTAGCCTACATCAGTGCTCAGACTGAACGATCTACTGTGTTCAGGACTTCTGATGTTTGCCTTATCTTGATGACTACTTAGACTACTCCACTTTAACTCTCTGCCAGCCCACCTCTACGTCAGCGCGCGAGCGCGCACACACACACGCAGACTGCCGTAGAGGACAAGTGCCTCATTAGACGAATACAGATGTGAAGCGATTATCAGGGAAGTTTGACTTAATGAGAAGTCTTGTGAGGGATTATTGAGGGAATGAGATAATCTAACGAGGTACTTTCATGTCTTGAGTATGGAAAGACATGGAAGTTGTCTGTATTACATTTGATTTGATTGAGAAATGTTGTATGATTGACCATAAAGACAGATAAAACATCAGACAAACAATCCCTCCAGGATTTCGGGAGCCCAGTGGTTCTTATGATAAAAATACAAATATTTTACAAGATTTCTTTAGCAAAACAGATAGACTGAAGCCAATAATGCCCTACTTTTTGAGAAAGCCATCACAAAATCAGTAATTTAGGCTGCATATACAGGCCTGTAGCCAGGGGTGGTTCAGGTGGTTTGAAAGACCCACACCTTACTGAGAAAGGTCCAAATTTTGCCCCATACATGTGCTCATTTTTACTATTTTGACTGGTATGCATGCCATGATAAATTGTTAAAAATACCCATGAAAATAACCCATCAAAGAAAGCTTGAAGACCAAGTGGAATCATGTGTTGGTTGTTGCACCAGTGTGACTGAGAAAAGTTGAATGTGCTGGGTAGTTTGTTATTTGCCTAATAAATGACAATGGGCTAGTCTTTAGTTTATAACTTTAACAGATTCCTATTTTTTTCTGATATATGATACTAACTCTGTATTGAAAAATTAAGTATTGTTTTTATGTTTCTTTAATCTTAATCTTGTGACGTGTGGTTATGATGACCATGATAAAAACGTGTGCTAATGATGACCATCCGACAAGCTAATCCAGCAAAAATAGTGCTTAGAATGTCACTAAAATGCAGTGTTTATATTTTTTTTTAAATATAAGAACCACCCCTTTCACCAGACTGGCTACGGGCCTGATATATAACAACAAAAAAAGTCTGCATATTCCTGGAGGGACTGGCAAACAAAATGTCTATCAAAATAAGTCAGAGTCAAAAATTCATGAACACAATGTTTTCTTTAGAAAGAGTTTTATATATGGTGTAAAAGAGCTGCTTTAAAAATGTAAAATAACAATAATAACAGCCGTCATCAAAGTTTGTTACTAAATTTAAAGAAGTGAAACTATACAGTATGATTAAATAATAAAGATAAATAGCTTTAAGTTGTTTCCATAATTATAAGAGTGGGACACATGATCGTTTATTAATTTTAATATTTTTTGTTATAATATTTTCCGGTTTCCCACACGAGTACAAAGACATGTGGTATATTTTAATATTGATGTAATATATGTCTAATTGCTTATTATTGTAGCACATAATAAATTAAATGTTACATTTTCTGCAAAAGTTATAGAACTACATGAAAAATGCTGTATTTATCAACTGTTCTTCATAAATTGCTTTCTTTAAGATTGTGCACTGTAAAACCCAAGTTAAGGCAATTCAAACTCTTTAATCAATTGCAGCAAACCATTTAAGCTTAAAAAACTAATCCTATGAGTACTGTGAACTCAATCCATTTCACCAAACAAAGCAATCTGAGCGCAGTAAAACCCAATAAGTGAAGGCAACTCAAACCATTCGAGGAAACCGATTGTTACAAACCATTTGAGTAAAAAAAAAACTAATCTATATGAGCACTTACTCCTTTTTATATGAACTTACTCTATTTAAGTTAAAGAAATGAGGTATTTAATTAACTCATTACCTTCAACACTGAGTTCAAAACTCTTTTCAAATGAGTAGAATTAACTTTCATATATATATTCATTCATTTTCTTGTTGGCTTAGTCCCCTTATTAATCCGGGGTCGCCACAGCGGAATGAACCGCCAACTTATCCAGCTAGTTTTTATGCAGCAGATGCCCTTCCAACCGCAACCCATCTCTGGGAAACATGCACACACACATTCACACACTAAGGACAATTTAGTCTACCCAATTTACCTGTAGCGCATGTCTTTGGACTGTGAGGGAAACTGAAGCACCCAGAGGAAACCCATGCGAACGTAGGGAAAACATGCAAACTCCATACAGAAACACCAACTGAGCCGAGGCTCGAACCAGGGACCCATCGACCTTCTTGCTGTGAGGCGACAGCACTACCTACTGCATCACTGCTTCGCCCTTATATGTATATAAAATCAATTACAATTGAATAAGAATCATTTAAACTTGTATAAAACTATTATGTAAAAAGAAATCAGTTTATCCTTAAATTTCTTTTCAAAATACATGTTTTTAGAATAATAATTTAACTAAAAATGCAATGTTTGCCTAATTACTGTAAACTTTATGTTGCCATGCTCCTATACTCTTCTTTCTTGCTGTTTATGTTACCTGGAAACCCAGGCACTGAATTTATACTATAGTAACCCCATGACAAATGCAAAATGCAACCACATCTTAGATGCTGAGAAAAGAGCCAAAAGCCCATTAAAGCTGAAACCTTGCCGCAGCTTTTGTAATGTTTGAATCCCATATGCTTCTTTGTAATTCTTCATTTCGAGACTTAAATGAAGAGTGTGTGCACAGTGGTATCAATAAAGCCAACCACAGAAAGTTACTCCGATGTGGCAGGGAGGTTTTAGTCACAGTGAAGTCACAAGGAGGGAGTCGGTACAGTTTTAAACTTAAGTCTCGAGTCTCCACTGACTCCAAACCAATAGATAATCACCGCTGTCTTCAATTAGGCACCATCACAACTCAGCTTTTATTACGAGTTCATGACAAGCTAGAAACATTACAATGGACACATTCCCGCTCGAACGGTTACCAGCAAGATGTCCCAACTTTCAGAAAAACAAGAATCCATCTGGTGAGGATCCTTGCCAAGAGATCTGTAGTCAAGAATTCAACACATGTTGATTCTAATTGTGTCCTAGTGTTAACTGGGGAAACCCTTTCTCTGTGATCTCTTTAATCGTACAGCATTAAGATAATTTAGTAACGACATTTATCCACGGCCGAATAACACATCTTCTGATGTGTTAATTTGCTCAAATGGCAAAATCATTACAGCAATTTTACACTGATTAATCACATAATGATTTCTGTCTTGTGATGTAATGACTCATATGAGTTAAAGTGTTTTGTTCATTGATTGTAGTGATTACCAGAAGAGCCGCAAGGCAAAAGACAATGCTGAATTGGAATTTCCCACAAAATAGAGGTGCGCTTAGGACTAGTGTGCACTTTTTATTGGTGAAATGGCATTGTGGATGCTAACAGCTAGTGTGCTTGTCTAAAAGTCCCACTTGTGACTTCTGAATTATACACAGTCTGTTGAGTTTTAGAACTTCTTCAGGAAACTCTTCACGACTGATCCAATATATAGACTGAGAACACAACAACATCACAAAAACGACAGAAGAAAAGCAAAATGTGTTGCCATCCATTTATTGTTTCCTCCCCAAAAAATATTTAATTTTTTTGAGAATTTTTTAATATAATTATTTTAGTTGTGAGCTCTAAGGTTGTATTTATGTTTTTTTTTTTTTTCTGAACCCATCTGTTTGCGTTATTTAAATTGATTTGTATAAAAGTCTGCCAATCAGAAAGCAAAACACACCAAAAACATACAGTGTATGCGGAAAGTATTCATAGCGCTTTACTTTTTAATTTTTTTATGTTACAGCCTTATTCCAAATGGATTAAATTACTTTATTTCCTCAAAAATCTAAACACAATACCCCCTAATGACAATGTGAACAAAGTTTTTTTTTTCTTTTAAATTGTTGCAATTTTATCAAAAACATAAAACCTTAAAAAAAAAATCACATGTACATAAGTATTCACAACTTTCGCTGTGAAGTTTTAAATTGAGCTCAGGTACATTATTTTTCCACTGATCATTCTTAAGATGTTTCAGAAGCTTAATTGGAGTTCACCTGTGGTAAATTCAGTTGATTGGACATGATTTAAAAAGGCATACACCTGTCTATACAAGGTCCTAGGCTTGACAGTGCATGTCAAAACACAAACCAAGCATGAGGACAAAGGAATTGTCTGTAGACCTCAGAGACAGGATTGTCTCAAGGCACAAGGCTGGGAAAGGTTACAGAAAAAAATCTGCTGCTCTGAAAGTTCCATTGAGCACAGCGGCCTCTATCGTCCGTAAGTGGAAGATGTTTGGAACCACCAGGACTCTTCCTACAGCTGACCGGCCATCTAAGCTGAATTACCTTGGAGAGGTACCATTTACCAGAGAGGTGATCAATAACCTGATGGTCACTCTGTCTGAGCTCCAGCTTTCTTTTGTGGAAAGAGGAGACAGAAGGACAACCATCTGTGCAGCAATCCACCAATCAGGCCTGTATGGTAGAGTGGCCAGACAGAACACTCCCCACCTGGAATCTGCCAAAAGGCATCTGAAGGACTCTCTGACCATAAGAAACAACATTCTCTGGTGTGATGAGACTAAAATTGAATACTTTAAAGTGAATGCCAGGCGTTACTTTTGGAAACCAGGCGCTGCTCATCACCAGGCTAACACCATCCCTACAGTGAAGCATGGTGGTGGCAGCATCATGCTGTGGGGATGTTTTTCAGTTGCAGGAAATGGAAGACTGGCCAGGATAGAGGGAAATGAATGCAGCAATGTACAGAGACATCCTGAATGTAAACTTGCTTCAGAGTGCTCTTGACCTCAGACTGGGACGACAGTTCATCTTCCAGCAGGACAATGACTAAAATATCATTGGAGTGGCTTCACAACAACTCTTTGAATGTCCT